TCCCACCCCCCCCCCCCCCCCCCCCCCACCACCCCCCCCCCCCCACCCCCAACTGCGGCCCCCCCAGTCTTTACCCCCCCCCCCCCCCCCCCCCCACCCCACCCCCCCACACCCCACCCCATCCACCCCCCCCCCCCCGCCCCCCCCCCCCCCCCGCCCCCCCCCCCCCCCCCCCACCCCCCCCCACCCCCCCCCCCCCCCCCCCCCCCGTCCCCCCCCCCCCCCCCCCCCCCCCCCCCCCCCCCGCCCCCGCTTTCCCCGACTGCTTGGGAAACTGACGTGGCCCCCCTGGCCCCCCCGGGCACCCCCCCCCCCCCAACCCCCTCCCCCCCCCCCCCCCCCCCCCCCCCCACCCCACACCCCCACCCCCCCCCAAGAAAAAAGACCCCCCCCCCCCCTGTCCCCCCCCCCCCGTACCCACTGGCCCGTGCCCCCCCCCCCCCCCCCCCCACCCCGCCCCCCCCCCCCAACCCCCCCCACCCCCCCCCCCCCCCCCCCCCCCCCCCCCCCCCACCCCCCCCCCACTGCCCCCCCCCACACCACCCCCCCCCCCCCCCCCCCCCCCCCCCCCCCCCCACCCCACCCCCCCCCACCCCCCCCCCCGCCCCCCCCCCCCCCCTTCCCCCCCTGCGCAGTACATAAAGATTCGTTAAGTATTTCTCTAAAAATTTTCGTTTGTTATCATTTGATGTCATTTGTTATCATTTTTTATTCTCTAAAAATTTTGGTTTGTTTTATTGTCTAAAATTCATAGTGAATATTGACTTTTGGCTACGTAATACAGACTCGTAGTCTTCTGCTTGATTATCCATTAATATCTGAATTCGTATCTATTAATATGGTTCGTAAATAGCTTTTGAATGTGGTTTTCATAAAGATGAAAGGCTTTCATACAAGTGGCCTTTTTACAAATGACATTCTAGGAAAGTAAAAGGTCTAGTAAAGTAACATAGTCTTCAATTAACATAGTACTCATTTGATTGACCCATTCAAAGGATGAAACAGCCTTGCCCAGCCTGGGAATCGAACCCCGGATCTGTGGTATAGCTGCGCGACGCGCTAGCCCCCCTTCGCCACCGGGCGGTCTTGCACATAAAATAGCCAAAGATTTTCTTCCCAAAATATTTTGCATACGGCATTCTTATTTCAAATAATGATATTATTTATTTGCTTAAATAATTAATGAAACTTGAAGCTATCTTTTTATAATCCTATTAAATTTTGCAGTATCAGTGTTCTTCGATGCAAGTTTAAAAATAAATATTGTTACGTCTTTATTTTTCTGACACCAATTGTTACGTTATTTTCTTCTTTCACGTTCGTACGGGGTTTGTGTGGATTTGGAGTGAATAACGCGACACTTGATGAAGTATCGAAACACACTTTACTTAGCCAGTACCAATCAGGACAGCTACAATATCACGTTACAGTCGTCGAAGAACTATTATAAATACCCTGACACAATCAGCGACACAGCCTTCAGGTTATCAGGCTGTAAGGATTATGTTAATTTTATTAACAGTTAAATTTTAAGTTCCTTTCCTGCCAAATTCTTACTACTTCCGGCCAGAACGTAGTTTTGGAATCTTGCTGAATATTTAATGAAGAGCAGCGGTATTTAAACCACAAAGTTACTTACAGAGTTAGAGAGAATCAGAGTTACTGATTTACGCGCGTCTGCCTTTTTGGCCAATCTCTCTCTCTCTCAAAGCTGTTATTACGCTCGACCGTACTCAGGCCTTTGGTAAGCTTCGTAGTCAAATAAGTTATGGGGCCAACTCGATTTGAATCTTGATAGCTTCGGCTATATTTCTTTAGTTAATCTTAGTTTTAGTTTAATTCTTAGTCTCTAAGTTCAAACCCGAGTGTCGGCTTTGTTTACACTCCCAGGCGGAGTTTTGTAAATTTATTGGAATATAAAGGTTAGTTACCCTCTATCTGTTTCTTGTCAACCGAATTGAGCGATTATTCGCTTATCAGTTCTTAAGATTCTTCACTTCCAACATTAACTTAGAATTACAAAGTGAGGAACTCTATATTGGCGCCCGAAAAGTTTGCAACGGACCCTGTTGTTAGAATCCGAGAAATTTACTTTGACCCCTCCGACTTTTCAGGTCCCTACTCAGACGTCCAAGAATCCAATGGAAGGATTCGGATTTATTTTGTAAGCGATGCAGGCCTCTATGAAACCAGCCGCAACATTTGGCGGCAAAGGCTCAGTGATGACCTTCTTGGAGCAATTGGACCTGCATTTCACTTTGCATCCTGTGACCCAGCTGCAGAAAGCGACAATCGCTACTACAGCCTTAAAAGTCAAGCCCTCAGCTAGTATAAAGGCATTGGAAAATTCTTGTTAGGGGACCCAGGTTCAAAATCATACAACTGAGAAAATTTAAAGTCGGCATTACTGAAAGCATTTCCAGTTGTTAAGGATCGTGCGAACTTGAATCAGAATTGTATAGTAAATACCAAGGCGGTTTCGAGGATTTGACGGAGTTCATTTTAAGAACGTTCATATTTTTAATTTAGTATACGGGAAAAAGCCCGATAATGAAATTATTGAAATAATTCTACCGCGTTTTCTGCCGTCAGCGCAAGATTTCCTCGAAGTGCGTAATCCGCAAACATTATAAGTTCTATTTCAGCTTGCAGTGAAGTTCCAAAGTAGAAGAAACTCGGAGAAAGCGCGTGCGAATCAGTTTGGCCAACATTCAAGATTTGCTCCTCAAAAGAAACCACAAGTTCAGTACAAGGCGTATCGGCAGACGCGCGTAAATCAGAAACTCTGATTCTCTCTGACTCTGTAAGTAACTTCGTGGTTTAAATACCGCTCCTTCTCATTAAATATTCAGCAAGATTCCAAAACTACGTTCTGGCCGGAAGTAGTAAGTTGAAGTTAAGACTTTGACCGGAAAGGAACTTTAACTTAAAATTTAACTGTTAATAAAATTAACATAATCCTTACAAGGCTATAACGGTGGAAACAGCTTCACTGCAAAGCACCAGAGTACAGCTCCCGACTCTGCTCGGTCGTTCTCGGAACTCCACGTACTCTCGAGACTCTCCACGCTACAACTCGCGATGCACTCGATGACGCACAAAGCACGGCTCCCGACTCTTCGGTTCAGTCGTTCCCCGAGCTCAACACGCTCTCCCGACGATGCACTAACCGCGATACACTAAGAGACTCTTCGATGTACTAACCGCGATACACTAAGAGACTTTCGATGCACTCGACGACCAATTCGGCGCTACACTTCGTGACACTCGTTCAGTGACTGACTATCAGCTCGCTAGACGAGGCACACACACACACACTGACTGCGGACCAGCAGGATTTATATAGCTTTCGGCTTGTGTTCGAGAACATTCTGGGCTAAAGCGGTAAGAATTCGTTCCAGAAAGTTTTCCATCCGTCCATGGTATATCGCCAATTTTGTCGCCAAATGTGGCAACTTTGCCTTCTCCTTACCATTTTATGGCACCCCTAAACTTGCTTTGCGGGTAAGCTACCTTACCGCGCCTTGACATTTTGTAACAATATGCATGGCACTTAGATCCGTCTGCGTATTTACAAACTAATTGTATATGTTTTTAAAGCTATAGCGCTTTCTCAGAATTTCATCATCTGCATTGCCCCAGTTGATCTCAGCACATGCATGTAACCTGGGATTATCATCCATTAAAAAAATGAATCACCTAAGGCGGGAGCAAATGGTCTAAAATGGTGATATGGGGCCATTTTATACTTCAGAGCAATCCGAGATCCAGTAGCAAATATGTGGAGCTAAGCGTAGATGTCCAAATAAACTCTTACATAAACCTCGTAATTGCCATCTCTGTAAATGGCCCTTGCAAAAACTACGACTAATCGTATAGCGCTCTTTATTTTTCTTTCCACATCACTAGATTTAATCACAGAGAGTACCTGGGTTTACCTGTAAGCATTATTGAGCATTAGCTATGCCGTCTTACCAAACGCAATAAAGCTACCCTAACCTAAGCAAATCTACCCTAACTCTACCCTACTCTAATTGAGCTAACTTGTGTCATGAACTCCTGCAAAAGTTCTTCTGGAAAATATTCTTATACGTGAAGTTTTCTTCTCAGAGTTAAAGCGCTTATCTACTTTTCTACTGTTAAGAAATGTTTAACAACATGCTAAAATGTACTAACATTTTCCTCCGGAACGTTCGAGATAGAAAATTATCATCAGTTATCAGGAGGAGCTGCAGGCAGTGGAGGATATGGTTGCTGTTTCTGAATCAGCAAGTTCTCTAATAATCGGATTGCACTTTCTGATGGGAATACAGTTAATATTTGATCGTCTTAGCATTGCAGCCTATAGCAGGTTCACTTCCATCCTGCTAATTGCTTCTTATCTTCCAGCCATTTCTATCAAACCAAATGAATACAGCTTCATTGCTATTAGGTAAATAATTCCTCTTAGACAAAGTATACAGTAATTCAGACGCAGTTTCAACATTTGCTGATTTTCTTTCGCAATCAAAGTGTATAAGCACCCTGAACACTAGCGAAGTTTTTCTACTTTAAATAAAACACCTAATTTGCCAAAGAAGTCAGTGTTTATTTCCAATTTTGCGTTGTCCTACAGTTTCCCTAGTTTATCTTACTTCCGTTACTGATACACCGCATGTTCTCATAACTTTTATTTGTAATATTATAAAGGAAAAATAACTCGGTTTCTTGTTGAAATACCTCTTGTTGAAAAATGTATAATATTTATTTTTAAAGTTCCTTTTGTTTCCGAATTCGCATTTTAAAGCACAGATCTTAAACAAACTGACATTTTAAATCCGATTTGGTCTATGTTGACATATATTCTGATATATATATGATCCATTATGTTGCGCTTAATTTGGTTAATATTTTGCTATGCACTTTTTAGATTAGATTTTTTTTAGGATTCTTTATACTGGTATTCATACTAGATGTTATAAATTGTATTGCAGAAATTAAAAGTGTTTCTTCTTTTCAAGGCAACATGTGGGCACAAACATGGGGAAATATTCTTCCAGAAGTGATGCCATATCCAAAAAAGAAAGAACTTGATATTACAAGTATTATGAAAGAGAAGGTATTTGCTTTTTCATATCAAAGTAATCTGTTATTTTTCTTATTGATGTGGGCCCACCAGCGGCCGTGCGGTAAAGTCGCTGAACACTAGTAGTTCGAACCGAGTTTCGAACTCTGCGAACGGGCCGACTGCACGTGCGTTTTCGTGGCTTTCCCCCTTCTTTACGAGCCAGTTTCCCTTAGAAAGTCCTCCACGAAGGCATCCCTTCCCTGAGGCAGATAGGCCTCGAGGATCATCACACACGCACACGCATTTCTTATTGATGTACAAACACATGAAATGACACACGAGAAACATAAATCGGCATTTTAACTTGTGTTTCAATTATGATCTCATAAGGGATAGTCAAAATTAAAATATAAAAGTCTTTAAAGCAGAATTACGATATGAATTTTTTAATTTTATATTTTGAAACCTATTCTTCTGGTTGTTATTTCTTTCAATTAATTAATGTTAGTTACTTCCTTGTCGTTTTATAATTTTGCCAACAATTTTTTCTGTAAAAGTGAACATATGTAATAACTCCACGTTGAAAACATAATTCTATAAATTATTCTCTGTTTGGTAATAAATTAGTTCCTGAATTATTGATCAACGATTACATAAAAAATATGCACGGAAAAATTTAACAGTCATTAAGCAAACTGCATCATTGACAGCTTTAAAATTCTCGACGTTTTCTGTAAACCTTGCATATATAGAGTGATACTTGAATAAGCCTAACATTCTTTTTTTTAAGAGCTATGTCACTCATCCTGAGAAGAAAAATAAATTTTTGTTCTAAATTGATATTTGCATACGTCTAGACTTCTGAAACGATTTATATCACTCCTATTAAGAACAGAAAAGAAATGTTAGAATTCGGTTATAGGTATGTTACAATAAATGTTTTGGTGCCTGTAATAATCTTTAAGATATGTTTCTTGAATTAACCAGCCAGTGTGATTTGTGCATTCATAGAATAAGTGGAACGCTCTTTTAAAAAATATTGCGTTTAATTTCGTAGTCAATCCATATAGAAAGTAATTTTAATAGTACTAATTTTTCTATCCTCACTTTCGCATTATTTTTATAACGGGTTATTGCAGAGGTTTTTGTAGTTACTGATGACAGTATTTTTTTCTTTATTCTTGAGAATTGTCCTTATTGTTGAAGTTGACAAGTTGAGTGCAACACCAATTTGACATTGACGTTTATCATTATCTAATCTTCTATGCTTTTTCAAGTCGCTTTATTTTCGTGTTTCTTATTATCACCCATATTAAAAACTAAAAATTGTAATATTTATGACTATATCAATCATTACATTGCAGAGACATTAGGATTTTGGGAAACAGGAAAGGTGAAAAATTAGCAACGCCTTCGCCGAGAATCGGACCTCTGAAATACCGGCTCAGCGTGCTGACCACTACACCACGAAGGCAAGCTAAGAAGGCGGGAGAAATACCTTACAACATTGCATAAATTTATACTTACATTAACAGCAACAAATGTTTGAAATAATAAAAATATGTTTGTGTAACACTACAGATAAGAAGTAATGCAGATAAATTACTTTCGATTTCGGGGGAAGCCCAATGCTGCACGCAATCTTCAGAGAATCTCTCTAATCCAATAAAAACACGTTAAACCGAAATAGTGTTAAATGGAGCAAGTTAAGCAGGGTCTTGCTATAAAAGAAAGAAAATTTAATACTGAAAAATGCATAAATTAAAAACGTAGATGAGGGTGTTTTTTTTTAAATCATGGGTGAGTTTTATCCATTCCCAAATGCGACATTTTTAAAAAGAGTTCATGCTATGCGCCTGGTGAATTGTCAAAGTGTAATTATTAACTAAGCTCATTAATAATGATCTATCTGTGTTTTACGCTTTAGCAGATTTTACTTAGTACTGCTTTAAGCTAAGATCTTGCTTAGCCTAAGCTAAGATCTGCTTTAATTTAAGCTAAGATCTGCTAGCTAAGATCTTGTTAAGTTACTTTAGTTGATCTACGCTTTAGCAAAAATATTACTTTAATTAACAGAAAGCGGAAACTACTGCAAAAGACTAACACAAAAAACTCGCAGCACAAGTTGGATTCGGTCATATAACTTGAACTGCAAAAAAACTGAGCTTCTTCTATATCCAGCTGATCCTGTCTTATCTGATTGAAAATCGAATCTAGGGCACAAGCTTTTCTCAGTGGCAAGTATTTGATTAATTTGGGAGTTGAAGAATATGGGCGCTAAGATATGTTTTTCTCCAAATGAAATTATTCGTTCAAAAATTAAATATTGCTTAAGAACAATTTAAAATTATCGCTATGACTTTGAAATCTAACTTGAACACTATAATGTCATGCATCTTGAAATTTGACTTACATATTTCTACATAATCTATAAAAATAGACATTTTACTAAAGAAAGAGTTCTCTGGTTCGGTTGCAGTGAAATGCCCTAATGCCGATGAGAGCAATCATATCAAAGCGTAGTTAATCTCTTAGAACAAAGCAGGACAAATGAAATTTGAAAATTTTGAACTGATTTGCTGCCCTGATTACTAAAACTGAGAGCAAACTCCTACATCAATTAAGTAATTCAGTTCACCGGTTAGGTAATTCATTTGCAGGTTTAAAATTAAAGTGTGAAATTTCAACAGATGAATAACCTACTAAAAAATCTGAAATTTTACAATTTTTTTTTTTTTTTTTTTTTTTTTTTTTTTTTTGTGATGGATGCAAAAAAAAAATTAATTACATGCTTTGTTACAGAAAATGAAGATAATAGATATGTTTACTATGTCTGACGAATTTTTCACATCCGTGGGCTTAAAGAAAATGACACCAGAATTCTGGAATAATTCAATTATAGAGAAACCAAAGGATCGTGAAATGGTGTGTCATGCTTCTGCGTGGGACTTTTACGATGGTAAAGATGTCAGGTAAGTTTTGGGAACGTATCTGACTGTTGAAATAGCTTTTTTATTCATTATGCGATCTGATATACGTATTATATATTATGATGGGCTTGAAATGCCACCCCAAATTATCGTTTAAACACATACTTTCACACTAAAGATAATTACACCATATTCGAAAAACCATTTCTAAAAAAAAGCGATTTTTAAGATAAACTTTCAAAATATATTTCAGAATAAGCTTTTTTTTTAAGTATTAGAATACATTTGGAAAAAGAGTGCTATGTTTCATTTCGTTAGCCAAAAATAATAATAATAATTTTATAATTGTACATATTGTTTCCTTGAAAATGGGATTTGGACTTTAAATTAGATGAAACTGCAAAAATATAAACTGCATAACTGTAATGCAAATTTCTTTTTTTTTTTAACTTCTTTTTGGTATTTTAGAATTAAAATGTGCACTCAACTCAATATGAACGATTTCAAAACTGTACATCATGAAATGGGTCACATCGAATATTTCTTGCAATATGCACACCAACCAACTGTTTTCCGAAGAGGAGCAAATCCAGGTGAGAAACTATATATTTTTCAGAAACAAATTTGAGTGGCAATGAACATTTTATTGCCAAAAAGAAAAAAGAATATTTGGTTTAAAACAGGTCTTCCGTTCATTTTAGGGATACTTATTTTCGCGTAACTTCAAGTTTTCTGTAAAGAAATGTGAACTAACATTTATTTTAATAATTTTGCAGGATTTCATGAAGCTATTGGAGATGTTATGGCCCTGTCTGTATCAACTCCTCAGCACTGGGTAAAAGTAGGTCTTGTAGACGATGTAGAAGAAGATAAAGGTATAGCAACAACTTTTCTTTCTTCAACTTGCTTAGCTTATCAAAAATTTGTATATATATTTTCACTACAAATTGTCAATTTCTGAAAACATTCTTCCTGTGACTAATCCTTCTGATTTGAACATAGTGTAGATCAGGTCCCCATATTCACTGTGGTCAAGAAGGTTAAAATTGCGCCTGTCATTAGCTAAGACCTGGGGTACCTTACAGGTGACAGCACGAGTTTGCCCAATTCTGTCCTGATAATGACAAAGAACACGTCAAGGCACAAATCTGAGAGATTCTATTCCCCTTCCATTACTACAAACTTCTTAGCTTACTCTATAATTTCCGTTCTCTCGTCAGGACGCTCGATTTAAGTAGTTTAAGTGCTTCCATACTTACTCCCATTTAAGTGCAAAGGCACTGTATACTTATTGTATGTAAGCCTTCATGCCTTCCCTTGGATTCGAATCTGAGACCAGTGTTCTTTAGGTTTCCCAAACATCATGCCAACAGGATTCTTTTAAGAAATCATCCATTAAATAACTGGCTGAACGTTTTCGATAATTTTAGAAATATCACCTAGATATTTCAATATTTTCAGCAATTAAAATAGAATAGTCGAGTTAATATGTATTTTCCTTAAATACTTCCCTTCATCGTTATTTCGAATAAATGGTCAGTTAGATTTAACTTTTTTAAGATTGGAAGGCAGATGTGTTAGTGAAGAAACAAAACATAATCTGCACTTCATTAAACAAAGACTAGCTTTCCTAAATATCTTGAATCAGTATTAAATACGGGGATCACCATTAAACAAACTATCAGTATTAAGATACATAAGAAGGTACATAATAAAGTTACAAGCTAATAAAACTTTATGTAAAACAGATTAAAAGTTTTTTAAAAAGTTATGCTATAAATACTAAAAACTATGAGAGGTATTAATATATATAAATAAATATAAATGGTGTAAAATTAAGAATATTATTAAAACGTAGCTGTGAATTTAAATTACGAACACAAATAAAAGCAAGTCATTTATAAATAGCTATAAAAGCTTACAACTTTTGAAATTTTTAAAATTTAAATGGAAAATTACGATGAAGTGAATAAAAATGAAAATTTTAGATTAAATTCTGGAAATTACAGAGAACGAAGAGAAGGGGAAAATGCATTAAATTTCAAAATATGCTGAAAACTCTAAAAGTAAAAATGTTTCACCAAGTCTAGCAGATTGATTCTTTTTCCAACAAGTATTGCAGTGAAAATATATTTAAGAACATTTGATTACCCTTTATATTAATTTCTACAAGTATGCAGCAGTACGATATACAGTAATCTCGATCACCAAAAGTGTGACTGGTTGTGATGGCCATTCCTGCCCAGAAATTTCTTCTATGTGATCTTTAGAGAACATTCTTTCTGTTTTCTTTTCTTCTGTGTTTGATCTCATTGAAAATTTAGTGATTCTGGATTACACATTTCTTGCCCGTAGTCCGTATGCTTCTTCTTGAAATGCTATAAATGCAACACTTACGATAATTTCTTACAACGCAGACGTAATAAAACGTCCGATATAATCTCCTGTACAACTGTATGACTTATTTTGTTGTCATGGACGCGTTCAAAATCACGTAAGTCACGATGTGTAGCAAGGACTGAAAAACTACTCTAAGTGTCGATGACAATTGACATTCAGCCCATTTATTACACATAAGCATGCTATCACTATATAAATTACTGTATCATTTGTCTTTTCGATGTATGCTAATCATTTGTGGTCATCTCCAGATACCCTCTACTTGCTTAAATACCTAATTTTCAATAGGTTGTGAGGTTCTGTTGTCACTGAAAGCTAGAGTAAAAATCCTACAGACCGTACTAGACTGATAGTGAGTCATGAACTGAATCTGAAACAAGTCATAAACTATTAAAGAACGTCGAAGAAATCATTTTATTTAGATCTAAATTGAACACAACAGAAACAACTTTTTCTACACATTAAACTTCCACTATTTGAGGGTATTCAAATTAACATAGCAAAAGTTAGATTCAAACGTAGATAACATAGTCAAAGACTACACATAAAAGGGAATACTTAGGCTGGCTGAAATAATTACTGTCACATCTTTTAAAGCATAGGCTAGCAAGATGCTAAAACATCGGAATATAACTTTAAGCAGATCTGGCGAGAGTGTTAAATATAGTAACACGCGGGTGCCAGAAGCTCTAATCTAAAAATTCAAAATCATGAACTTAAATACACACAAATCTAATTTGCATTCTGGTAAGAAATAGAGAAAGAAGAATATGTAGTAAAGCCTTAAATCGTAATAATTGATTAATTAAAATAAAACCCGTTACAAGTCTCTTGGTTTCAGACTCTTTCAATGAGCCTAAACAGGGGATGTTATAAGATGGTTTGGTTCAAAACAAAGCCTGCGTGGGATAAAACTGATGTTTTAAAAGTGGATAGTGCTTTAAAACTTAAATTAATATGAAATATCTTAAGCTTTTTAGCAAATTATTGGATATTTCTAACTAGTTAAGAATCCTTTTGAATTTTTATAATTTTTCATAATTGATAATCATAAATATTATGGTTTATATAATCTTGACTGCGAAGATTTAAAAATATTCTTATTTACGTTGTAGAGACATTAGATAGTTTCTGAAAGCAGGATATGTGAGAAATGAACAATGCCCTCGCAGGGACTCGAACCATGGACCTCTCGAATACTCGTCGAGTTTGCTGGCTATTACACCACAGAGGCATGATAAGAATGCGGGAGAAATACCTTACAACGTAATTTGTATTTTTCAAATAATATATAATTTTTTTTATTATTTTTTAGAAGCCGATATCAACTATTTAATGGATGTGGCTCTTAATAAAGTAGTGTTCTTACCATTTGCTTACGTTATGGATAACTGGAGATGGAAACTCTTCAGCGGCGAAATAAAGGAGGATGAAATGAATTCAGAATGGTGGAATATGAGGCAAGTTTATTTTTTAATGTACGGCACTTGAATACATTCAAAACTTAATCTCCGAGATTGCTAAAATAGTGGGATAATTAAATGAATAAATTTAAGTTCATGTACACTAAATGCTGTTTGAGATCATAGATTTCGTGGTTATTGACTGAATATTAAAATTGTTTACATAAAAAACAGAAATAATACATGACAGAATAAAGTTTATTCGGTAGATTTGTAGAATCATCATGTTTTTTTGAAGCAGGAAACTGAAGAAATCTGAAGTGCCCTCGTCGGGACTCCATGAGCCAGTTTATAGACACGAAACGGCTATACGGAGAGAGTATAATGGTAAAATGAGATTACCTGGGTGTTTTTATGATATCATTATTTACTCTTTTCGAAAAGCAAATTTCAACTCCGTCAGTAGGGCACTATGAAGTTAGTAGCCAGCGTTTAGTTTTCATTTTTTAAAACATATTCAATAATATTTAGATTGAAATTAATTCATGGCTACAAAATATGCTTCTAAACATCGTCTTTTTAGCATATGCTGTATGTGGACTCAAATGCGTTTTTGTGGGAATGAAAGAATTTTCGGCTGCAAGTATATATGGTATGATAATTTCTGTACACAATAGCACTGACAGAGCTAGTTCTTTTTTTAAGACATCTGGTACTGCAGGCCAACATTACATAAATCTTCTTCAGCTAGAATTATTTCCATCAAATATAGCCGTTTAGACGTGTTTCTACTAATTTCGCACCCCTGTCAAACTGCTTACAAATTCAATCATTTTGTCTTCGTGCCATACTGTTTACGTACAATAAATATCTTTTTTGTATTTCCTTTCCTTCATGGCATTGCAATTTTAACGGCCAATGTAGTGTATATATAAATGTAGTATACCTCACCTAAAAGAGATGGTTTAAAAAAGTATGCTGTAAATTATTTTCCATCAAATACAACCTATTGCAGTTAGTAGAAAAATTTGTTACACAAATATAGAACTTTCAATCTCATTGTATGTTTGTATCGTATTGTACTTTATTTTTATTTTGAAAAGATGGTGACATCTAAATATAATTGCCACACTAAGTAAAATTTTACTTTAGTTCTTTTTTTCTTAACGGATGAAATCCTGCTCAGAAAACTAGGCTAATAAATGGTTCCTAGGTAACAATCTCGAAAGTATAATAATCGCATTTCCTTAAGCAAATGATGATATGTGAACTATAAAAGATGACTATAGTGCCTTAAAATTTAAACAATGACTATAAGAATACCACATAACAATAAGAAGTGCTTTAAAATGTAAATATTAATGGACATTTTCAATAACTGCAAATCTGCTAAAAACTGATAAAAATCCATGAAGTTAACATTATCAAATAAAGCAACAGAAAATGGCGGCATATAGGTAACGTTTCTGTTTCTAAGGTCTATAATATCAAAATTGTGTAAAGTGGCAGTTGTGAACAGTGTCAAGCGTTTCCAACAAAATAACTTTTTTCAGTGCATGCAGCTTTAAACATTTCTTGAAGAATTTATTGTCTTAAAAATTTCGAATCTAAAGCTAGGTTATTGTAATATCAAAATATTTGAAGAAATTAGTAGACTCTAAGCATTCCGCTTTTACTAAATTACAAGAAAATTATAATAGTTATGAATAGTTAAAGATAATAAAAAATAGATAAGAGTAAATAAGAGAATAATAATAAATAAGAGATAATAAAAAATATTTACATTTTAGTGCATGTAATTAAATCGTCCGCCTAAAAAAGTTTTTTATATACTCTGAAGGAATGAAATCCCAACATTAAGACGCATTTGTACTAGGTAAATGAAATTTGGGATGCATGTTTATACATCTGAAATTTGATTTCTGTTCAGATTTCGTTCTAAAAGAATAAATGTGGTGCCACTATGAACATACCCATCACGTTTGCTTTGAATACTCGATGTAAATTCCGTGTGCCTTATTAATCTTCCGAATTGGATGTTGTAAGCGAGATTTTAGTCAAGAATGTCTTTAAGGAAACTAAGAAAGCAGTATCAGCAGTTTACGAAGTTTGAACTAAGGAGTGTAACAGGGCTACGAGAGCGTGGATTTTTCTTTTCGTGATACTGCAGAAAGACTTGGGATGTTTCCAGTATGCATGAGTGTTGGCAGCAGTGGTCATAGGAAGGTTCTGCTTCAAGAAGGCCACAGACTGGAGAGCAGAGAGGAGATCTGATGTGTTTTCTGAAGACAGGAGGTAAATATATGGAGACACCAACGAAATACCACGGGTTAGCTGGTAATGTCTTCACATACGGATTAACCTTAAAAAATTGCAAATTTCGTAAGAGTTCACAAAGAAATGTTGAGAAGATGAGCATCTGAAGCTTTCCAAATGATCTATAGTTTACATATTATGGTATTAAGCTAAAAAAAAAATATTTGTGGAATGTGCATTCTTCTTGAGCAGTTTATAGACATGGAGCAGCTATATGGGGTGAGTATTAAAATGAGATTACCTAGGTGTTTTTATGATATCATTATTTGCAATCCCACCGTACGTCATGCGTTTAGTATTTATTAAAAAGAGGGATTTAGACATAAAGAGATTACAATACAATTTCAATACAATCTGAAATTCACAAATTAAATTGAGAACGTATGTTTTCATGTAATAAAAATAACAGATAAAAATAATAAGTAACGAATAAACATAATGAGATAATAAGTATTGAGAACACAAAGTTGTACTAATAATATTAAATAAGTGAACTCCGGGACAAATACTTTGAGAATAATATCAACAACACTGCGAGAAAGAACCTGAGAACTCAGCGATTTCGGAATGCAAAAGATGGTAATGCGGAAAATAATTTTGACAAGAAATTAACGCAATTAAAAAATGGTTTTTGAAATGCTATGTTGGAACAGGTTATTACAGTTTATAAGTGGAATCGTTTTGACCATAATCACAGATTATAATAGTTCATTTATGCAGTGTGAGGAACGTGACTACTTGACAAAGATCTAAGCCGTAGGAAGAGGGTTAGTTGCATAATTTTTTGAAACTTACTATACTCATGTTTATTCTTTATTAGAAGCCTTTGGAATGTCAGGGAATCATTCGTGGGAATTTTATGTAATTATTCTCATTTTAGGAGCCTGAGAAAGTGTAATGTTTAAGAGTTCCCTATTCCCCACTTATATGTCGGAGACTGTCATATTTCTTGCGTAGAAATATGCGGGGAAGGGTCCATGTCTTGTTATGTAGTAATTTAATGAAGAATTCTAGTGCAGAGATGTGAAGCATAACATTGGGAATCAAATTATATTATATGCATCTTCCCTCTGAAGCATTATTCGACAAATCTTGCTAATATTTTGAAGCAAGTTGTTTTAGTTGATATTTGAAATTTGAACGAGGCCATGGAAGGATGTTTTCAATACCATCCTGATTAAGAATTGCTGCATTTGGATTAATCATCTGCCTGATAATTAGCAAAATGGCCAACATGTTCTATTCATAAAATTTGAATTTTATGGTTTGGAAAAGCAAACAGAGAATAAGAATAAGCTAAGATTTAAAATAAGATAAGAATAATAATAGACTACTAAGATTTGGGATTATTTTTCTTTTCATGTTAGATTGGCAAAAAGTTTGCTTATTAAATTCTACAGCTTGCCTAAGCTAAAGGATGTTCATGTAGGTGATTTCCATTCTGAACTGATTGATAGTGGAATAGTACTAGAAGAGCTATATTTGAAGTTGTGCGATATGCTCGAGCAATGCAAAGCGTAAAAGGTCTTTGAATTGAATTTAAGCAATTAAGTGTCCTCAGTGTCATTGATTATGCGTAAATTCCAGCTCCATAATTTACCATTTTTTAAATATTTTTTAACAAGTCCTTGTTATTTGGAGATTTAAGCCCCAGTTATATGCATGGATGCATGCGTCGTAGGTGGTTAGCTACTGATGTACGAATTTTAATATTTTGTAGACAAAGACTGTAGGAGGATTTCATTTCGATTGTTAACCGAAGGTACTTGATTGTATTTACAGACTTGATCTTTTGACTATCAATTTTTAGAGCTAAGACTTTGTTTGTATTTTGCCGTGGTTTATGGATTACTGACTTCAGACATACTATGTGAGATTTGCGGTTTTGGATTTTGCGAATATGATTAAATATCTGAAGTGTTCAATTGCATTTTTCCGTAAAATGCCTCTGGTACGACCACTTTTAGCCAAAGCAATAATTGAGTTTTTAGGAAATGATGTTGGATAGGCAATGATATTGAAACTGATATTCCAGAGATTTTCTCTCATGAAAAACCCCTGGGGACATCCTCTGAACTGATTATGCATAATTTCAGTATTTTTGTTAAGAAAAATTCTTTTCTTATTTCTGAAATAACCTTGAATAATTAGGAACAAATTTTGAAGGCACTTAAAGGACTGCAGAGATTATAAAACTGTTGACCACTATAAGGAATCAAAGGCTGATTTTAAGTCAAGACATATTATCGCAGAAAGAAGTTGGTTGATTTTATTGTTTTTGACTTTCTGAAGAGCTGAATTAATTGTATGACTTGTTGAAATAAGCTTCAAAACCCCAACTGATAATTACTTATTAAGTTTTTTCGTAAACATAAAATTTTAGACCAACAATGAGACATCTGTCTAAACTTTTTCCCAAGGCTGGGAGGAGATTTAGCGGACGATAAGATTTGTGTTCATCGAAGCTTTTATTCCTTTTATTAAAGAGTATGATTTTGCAAATAAATAAATAATAATAATAAAAGGGAAAAGTTTCGCTTCTGCATTGGTTTTAGTTATGGACATATGTTGGTTAGAAGGAGGCCAAGTGAGAGCTTGGAAATTAAGCTGTCTGCGGCGTAGATACATTAAAACTACACCAGGAGTTATTCCTGGTAGAGAAATTTCCTATAACAGCAGAAGCACTGTCGTAGCTACACACCTTGATAGCAAAGTTTTACGTCCGAACTGGTGATTACATCAATCGTGATGTCATTGAGCCATATTCTAGAAAAACATTATCCAGCAGGATAATGCTCGTACCCATACAGCTGGAATTCCCTAACATACTTATCCCCTAACAATTCCCTAACATTACATAGAGTGCCGACATGTTGTATTTGACCTGCGAAATTACCCGAACTTTCTGCCATCGAGCACATGAAAGACATGATTGGACGACAAATACAGCATCATCCGCAACCAGCAAGAGCAGTTACTGATTTGATTAATCGTATGCAACAGGCATAAAACTCCATCAAATACAATGATGCACGGCATTTGTACAGCATAAAGTATGCAAGTTTGCATGCTTCCATTCAACATCTTGGCGAGTGCAACAATTATCAATGTACCACCATTTCACATTTGAAATGGCTCTTCTCACGAATGCTTTCATTTTTGAAACATTTATCAAATAAATATATTACCTATACGAATGCTTTCCCTCCAGTTCTTTCCTCTAAAGTGATTTCTTCTCTGTGTTTGGATTTCATTTTCCACCATTGTATTTTATATATAGTTAAAATGGGATAAAATGCATTGCATTAGTCTCTCAGTTATTCTTATATATGCAACGTTGTATTTATGAATACTTTAGCCTCAGTATTTTACTCTACATTCATTATCCAAGAAAACAATAATGTTAAATAAACAATTTTTATTGCACAATTTATCTATAGAATTTACTTTGCTATTTAATCTGGCCGTCCTTCCTATTACAGACTGAAATACCAAGGTCTTTGCCCACCAGTTAAAAGAACAAATGAAGATCTTGATGCTGCTTGCAAATACCATACAATTTCTGATGTTAAGTACATCAGGTAAGTTATACAATTGAAATTTCCTGCCATCAAATAATTTTTTATATTTTACTGTTTTTTTATGCAAAATTATTTATATACGAGTATATTATGCAAAGATAAAAATTATCTTAAATGAAATAAAATTAAACACAGTAGTTTAAGTAAGCATTACATTAATATAATAATATTGTCAGAGATAAGCGTTCGGGGAGAATTCTTTGTTGCGACAAAACCTGAAACTTATTTTCTTCAATTTATTATGCTATATTTACTTAGTTTCATAGGTTAATGGAGATTTATTGATTTAAAATATTTAAAACGCATGCTAATGTCGCCTAAAATTTTTAAACTTCATTTCACAGGATATAGTGATTTAAATTTTATCAAGAAAAAGTGTTTATTTATGAAAAGCTGAAAATATAAAATGCCGCATCAGCTAATTGTAAGTTTGGATTGACAGCCTGATCGCTCTTCAATAAAAATATGTAAAAACTGTATTTCATAATGCCATAAAAATTTTTGCTAGAGATTAAATTATGAAAGACATTATCTTTCATAATTTCAGATATATTTTTACATGTCCAATAAGTCTTCAAGAAGTAACATCACCAGGCTCTAAATATAAGACATAAAATAATCAGAATTAATTTTAAGGTTACGCAAATATAATTCTGTTATGTTATTTCTGTGTTTGTAACTTGAAATTATAATGTACGAAAATAATGGATAATAAGGATAGTGACAAATGAATGTTTTCACAGTTATTACAGCTAAAACATTTTCAAACAGATGTAATTAGCTCCCGAAATCCTGAGTTAATTTTTAATTTCATTGGTTAACTCAAAATCACGTTTAATTCAAATGCAGTTAAAAAAACACAGGATAAAGAAACAACTCGAATTATAATTTATGGAAAAGTTCTATTAACGTCTTTACTTTTTGGCTAAGGTATAAATTCACTTCCTTGTGAAAGGTAAATAATGGAAGACTAAAAATCATTAGAAATGAAGAAGCCAAGTTATAAACGGCTATGGCATCATCTTGTGTCACTGCTATTATCCCAAGAATTTTCTTTTTTCTTGTATTTTCCAATAGACACGTTTGCTTTACGCTGCTGATAGTGATTGTTTCATCATTTCCTCAACAAACTTTCAAGACAGGGTCTGGAATCCCCAATCCGTTTATGAACTCCAGTGTAATTAAGACCTGAATGTAAGAATCATATAAATTTTTAATATAAGATTTTGAAAAAGAAATTATGAAATACAAATTATGAACTTAACAAAAATTAAAAAAGGAGCTGAAAGCAGAACAAACAAAAAGAAATAATTTCGATGATGTTAATCAAACCTAAAGCAGTCTTTCTCTACCTTTCCACGACAGTATATTTTGATCTTTTCATTTTCAATTGAAACTGCAGATTTACAATGTTTCATCTATTTCATCAGGTTTAGCATATTTAAAGAGAGATTTTTATTTATTGTATAATGCTTTAATATACAAGATTACTTCAAAAGATGCATACAGTTTATATAATTTATACTTTTATGTGACATAAATATGTTTATGAATATATATAATAATACATGTTTACACAATTTATATTTTATTTAAAAATAAGCAACAGTCCAGTTAAGTGAGGCGAGACACCAGAAATTTACCATTAGTCATACAATAGTCCCGTCCTGTTAGCTGTTAAGTTCCGGCTCATTTTTGATGGAGAGCATTTCGGGAAGGACAATCTGAAGGTTTTTCTAACCCTTTTCCTCTATCACCAAACTACATGAGAAGACTTTTGTCTTGCTGTATATGTTGAGCAACCTTATGCCGCACAGACACCAAACATCCATTTGCCTTCTCCGGTACTCGAACACATCCCAATGACACAGCAGCCAGAAACGCTAACAATTAAAACTGATCTAAGAAAAGCAAAGTGTGAGATATAGCGATGCAATCTTAAGATATATATGAGTGTAGATATGATTTTTTTTTGTTTGTTTTGGTAACATTCAGCAGATTACATAGACAAACATTGTGTGTCCTATATCTTAGTAGAAAAAATAACCGCATCTGTCAAAGCTTATGAAGAGATACTTCTGGAAACGTCTATTATCCCGTCGAGATAGTGGAAATTGTTTGTTTTATTTTATGAAGCTCATTAAATAATTGTAATTTGCATAGAACTGATTTTAGTTACTATCACAAAATTTTTCAAGCCCAGATTCTGGAATCTGAAGTTGAAGTCTCGTTCTTGTTGCTTATTTTTTTGAATTTTACTAGAACATGCCAGGAATGTGTTCAACTTGCTTTTCAAATATTTGACGATATCTTTAACATAAACAACTCATAAATTTAAATTTCTTACAGTAGTTTTATATCAGATAGATCTCCTGCGTGGAAGTAGGTTTCTAAAGTTTCATCAAAGTTTGCATTTAACCATGGTAGCGAAGCAAACATGGCTATTTCTGACTGAAGCATGGCCATTTTGTATATTAAGTCACATGACACAATATGATGACTTACATGGCATGTGGTACCGGGGTAAAAAACTCCATATCCGTGCCCATATACCCATCAGCGTTCTACCATATGTTGCACTGAGTACATATTACAAGTGTTTGAAATTGTTATAAGGAGGAGTTATAAAGTTAGGTACATATGTATGTAGTAGAACTGAGTGGGGTACCAGAGACCATCACCATGGATGACACACGAAATGCCTCAGCACACTAACCATCGTTAGAATTAATCCTCCACGGACTCATTAGTACATTGCTGATCGTGAATGGAAGAGGTGATGGGCCACCGTTGTGGGGCCACCGTTGTTTAAAATTTTGAGGAGAAATACTTTTAACTTTCTTTACAAACTCTGTTGAATTTTTTATGGTGTAAATGTTATTATCCAATAAAGTTGAAAATCTAGAAACTAAATATTTAGCAAACAGATACGAAGCAGTGCCTAAATTTGATACAATAGGGCGAAAAGGAATGCCACTTTTATGAATTTTGGGAAGAGCATATAATCTGGCACAATTCGCAACAGATGGGATAAGCGATCGTTTTAAGTGGGTCGGAAGGAGTTGTGAAGATTTGATCGCAGTTTTTATTTTTGAGAGGTCCGAAGGGTCTTTCGGGATCGGAATATATGGTCCTTCGTTTACTGAGCTTAGTGACAACATGAATATGAGTACTCTTGTCCATGACGACTATATAGCCACCTTTATCAGCCTTTGAAATGATAATATTTGGGTTAGAATGAATTTCGCACAATATAGTTCTTTCACTTGCATTTAGGTTTGGCTTCAAAGGTTTATTGTTGAGTTTCACATTATGGGCGATAAGATGTCTAATTATTTCTTTCTATGTATCTGAAACTTTACTGAATTTAAACGCTTTTTTGATAGGAGCCACAGTCTCCCACAGTCTCTTCTGTTAAACTAACACTACAAATATTAATTATTGGTTTCTTAGTCCAATCACTGCTGATATCTACTACATGCATTATTTTGAATCTGAATTATTTGAAACTTTAAACTTCACAGTTTGGTTCCGCTACGCAGACAATACATTTACCCTGTTTGATGGTAATGAAAATGATTTAAATAATGTTCTTTCAATAATGAATTCCATTGATCCTGCTATTCAGTTCATTTTTGAACTTGAGACGTCCAATTCTCTTCCGTTCCTCGACATTTTGGTCACACGTAACGTATCTGACTTCAGTACTACTCTTTCACGTAAACCTTCATCGGTTTGCCTTCCACCACGCTTGTAATCATGTCATCCGATGAAAAAGAAGTTAGCTTCATTTTATTTCTTTGTTTTCCGCGCACTTCAAGTTTGCTCCTCTAAATCAGTGCTTGATCAAGAACTAAATTATTTAAAACCAGTTGTTATTGACAGGGGCTTTTCACCCAACATTATTAACCGTGCAGTTAAAAAATTCTCATCGAAACACATATGGCAGAAATTTAACTTCCGGGTTATTTTTTCTCCTATCTATAAAATTCCTAGTTCCATGCTTAAGGACTTCATTCCGGATATGAATTCCTGGGGTATTTACAAGATTCTTTGACAATGTGGTTTACTTTACATTGGTCAAACAAAAGAGAGCTTTAAAGTTTCGTGTTAAAGAGCATGAAGCATATGTTAGGAAAAAGGAAATACACAAATTGGCTGTTTCTCAACATTGTTGGAAATTAGAATTTTTAGAAGCTTTTCACATCCAAAAAAATATTTCTGTTCTACTTAATGACCTCAGTTGCAATCCAGAAATTTTGTTTTAGTTTTTATTGTTTCATCAATAGATGGCGCCGGTAATGTTTCTGATATATATATGTTTAATGTTTCTGATATATATAAATGATAGTTATTAATCATTTATTAACTAAAAAGAGACAGAAATACTACCTTCTCTTCAAATCTGCAACACCATTTGGCAAATACATTGTATCTGAGTCAAAGCAAACAGCAGACGAAATGTAAATGTATATTTGATAATTTCTAATCTTCACTCGTGAAACTGAAATTTAATAGATGTCGATTTGAATTTCTTTTTATGTCGGCCGGCGTTTGCTTACGCATAGAAACTGACACAATTCGTGCAGAATTAGGTGAAACAACCCAACCAGCATGCTTCAAAATTATTCGTATAGCATTAGAAGCAAAAAGTACGTTTATTTACGCACGCTATATGTTTATTATGATTATTTAACTGAAATACATATTTGTAACCGAAAATATGTTTATTTAACTAAATAATACGTATATTTAACCAAAAGTACAGAGAAACACCGATTCGCGAATTAACAGAGAGAAAAAAAGGTAATCACAACAAGTAATAAAATCAACAGGTAACTTGTGTTATTAGGAGATCTATTTTTTAATGCTCCTCTTTTCAAGAGCTATAGAGATAAACTTTTTGTGTATTGAAGCCATTTACCTTACTATTCAAGCAACAAAGAACCCCCCCCCCAAAAAAAAAAGAAAAAAAAATCCAGCAGTGTCTGCCATTTCTTACTACGCCTTAAGTATCAAATTTTAAGTCTCTATAGTAAATTGAATCATTTTTAGCCTCATTTCATGCAGTGAATGCGTGGGAGATACATTCCCAGCCCCAGGAAAAGGTTAAAGCAAATCGAATCAGCTTGAGGCCCACTAGACCTCCGTTTCATGATACATTTACGCAATGTGATTTGTTTTTATTTACGTTTTAAAATGTTTGCTACAATGAGACATGGCAGTGTCATTGAAACTGATGATATTATTATATGTAACTTCGCATTTTACCGCATTGTATTCAAATTTTGTTGATCAAAGAAATAGCTTCATTTTCACTTCTATCTCCATTTTTTCCTCTTCCTCTGAAGGCACAACAATGGTCTTTTATTTATGCTTCCGAATGTGTTTCAGTTGTTTTTTGTCGCACACGTTTTTATGATCCTCTAATAGCTCTTCCACACCTTCCGTCTTCGTTGTTAACTACCAAACCCATGGTTTTGCCTAGAGACATAAAATAAAAGATAAGGAGGGCTGGGCAAATTTTTAGGGTCAAAACCCTTAAAATCGCAGCTTGCAACACAGTCCGGCCATATATTTCTTTTAGTCAAATTCATGGTCCTGTAAGACACTTGGTGCCAGGCTTTGTTAATTAGGTGTTAGACAGCAGACTGTATTAAAATAATGTTTCTAAAAGTTCCTGAGTTACGTCTCAGGCAAGATGTTACCTTAAAATTTCTGAAAATCATTTGCTGCAGACTTGCATATTTTCACCCGAGGTGAGGAAATCTAAGACGTTTCTTCTTCAAATAATTTGTTCGTGAACCGATTTGTTTATGATGAGAGACGCTTGGGGTCCGAGGATCAACTGCATATGTAAATATATTTTCATCTGGAAATAAAATCTTAACATTTTAATTCAGTGTTCCTTACTTTCAAAGTCTAAATATATTCAGAGAAAAAAAACAATCTTTCAGAGAAAAAAAACAAATATTTTTTTTTAATTTGTAAATTTGTAAGACTAAATCTAATTCTAAACTGATCTAGTTAAAAAAACGAAAGTTTGAATTTAAATTCACGAAAAATTCCAAGAAAAAGCCAACATTTCCCCCTCCAAAAAAAGAACTAGATTTCATCCTTTAATATTCACTTTTGCATCAAAGTGACTCAGACAATATAAACTGGAACGCAAAGGAATGGAGATGATGCGGGAGTTCACATTATAGCATTGCTCCATTTACTACAAAAGCGCGGGGCATAAACATATTACGGAAGCAAAAATGTTTTGCTAAAATAGGAAGGTAAAAATTTAAGTTTAAATTTTATTAAATTTAGTTTAAATGTTAAAAATTTAAGTTTAATTGACGAAATTAATGAAATTTTATTTTTAAAATGAGATGAGAAAAATAAATAACTGAGATATTTCGGAAGTTTGATTTGGATGAATGGGTTTCTCTCTATATAACCATTTGCAACTAACCATAAGAGACATGCACATCGTATCAGAAATTAATAATTGCATCAGTCTGAAAGAGGCTACGTCCATACACTTTAGTTAAAATATGTCCCATTTGTCCTTAAAATCTAAGTGCTAATTCAGTTTTAAAAAAAGTATGCGTAATGCTTTTTTTAAAACACTCGAATAGGTTTTCGAAGAGAAGCATATAAAGAATGTACATTATTTCACTTTTGTAATTAACCATATGAATTTATATGACCTTACAGGAACATGCACATAACGTTATCTAAATGGCGAATTAAGCATAAACCGAACTTAAATGGCAGTTTCGATGAGCGTATTTGAAATGCTTCTTGAAAACTGTATGATCAAATATCAATAAATTTTATTTTTCAGGTATTTTGTTGCACATATAATACAGTTCCAGTTTCATAAAGATCTATGTGATGCAGCGGGCCATGAAGGACCATTACATAAATGTGATATCTATAAAAGTGAAAATGCAGGAAAGCTGCTGAGGTTTGTCAAATTTCATTAAATTTCGTTGTTAAGTATTTGCTAGTAATATGAACTTTATTACAGTTTTTATGGTTAAGTATTACATTGACGAAATATTTACTAGCAACTCTTTTTTAAACTAGACATTGTACCTTTATTTTATATAAAAATAGGCCATCGTTTATTATGCTGAAAACATCTTTAGTTAGTTAATTTTTTTTTCCTTATACGTATGATTTGACATGTAAGAGAGGTTTCATAGAATTATCTGTAACATAAAGCTTCCACTTGTTTCTTTTTCAAACTACATTTCTGCTTGAAAAATAAATAATTCTGTAGAGTCATTAGGTTATTTTCAAGCAGAAGATATGAAAAATGTACAATGCCCTCGCCGGGACTCGAACTTAAACCTCTCGGATACGCGTCAAGTGTGCTACCGTTACACCACGATAGCATGCCAGAAGGAGATAGAAAATGTTTTATAACTCAAATGCCATTTGAAAGTTGAATCACGTTTAAAATTCTAATGTTTGAGTGCCATATAAAATATTACAGATGAACTAAACATTGACTAAAAGGAACCATATGAGGAATGAAACAGGGGCATTGCTAGAGGCCAACAGAAGATAAATTCATATAGAAAAGTAATTTAATATGCATGGTAATATCATGCATAGACCTCATACAGTTTATATACGCATGTACTTACAAGCTAGCTGATCTCTTGTAATTATTCACTAACGGATAAGACTGTTTTCAAAAGACCTGAATCTGGATACTCGAATATTACATCCAAAACCGATGATTTCTTTTTATATCAAAGAGGAAACCGTCTATGGCAAACCTTTCTGCTTCTAGAAGAAAACAAAAATATTGATAAAATGTGTCTGTCATACTTCACGCAGATGGGCGGGGTCCGTGTAGGCATTTTTGCTGTCCGTTGCAATCTCTGGAGTCCTAAAGTCTGCTGATCCGCACGTCCTTAAATTCAAAACGTTCTTCCTCTCCTAAATTCTGCTGTTTAGTGCCTCCTCTAAATTCTAAATATTGTACCATCCCTAAATTTGGAAGCTTGCTAGTTCGCCAATTTCAAAAATTTTTTCTGCTCCAAAATTCTGCCGTGCGGTGTGATTGCACCAGCTGCATCAGCTCTGGCGCAAGCTCTGCACAGCTAAGTTTTATACAAGTAGATCAGCCACTTATGAGGGTATATTATGCCATCGGTAAAATCCCTTTAAAGCTGGAAGCTTGAATGCCGATACCGAAGCTTTGAAATGAAGTTTTTTTTACTGAAGAGTTATATGTACATCTTCAAAAAAAATGTCGACTTTTACAGAAAACAATGGAACCACACATCATGCAAAAATATCATGAGAAATTATCTTTGCAGAAATGGTGAAAATTTATTTATGAAATTAAGCTTAAGGGTGATAGTTCTCAGTTTTGCGCATTTCGTGGTAGATTAGTCATTGCTCTCTGGTATCGAAACAAAATAGTACACCCGTATGCAGCCGTGATGAACTTAGATTCCATTATTTATGGATGATAATATTTAGCGGTTCATAGCATGGACCTTATAAGAAATAGACTAACCCAAATGGGTTTTCTCCCTCGTCTGAGGCGTTCCTGGCTGTCACTTTGATCACATCCGGAGGAGTAGGGACGATTTACAGAAATTTAACAGTGGTTGCCTATTGCAGCGTGTATAATTGTCAAGAAAAAGCTGATTGTAGCGCCTCATTTCACAAATTAGAATTTCTACATATTTTTTTTGAAATTGAGATTGATTTTTTAAACATTTAGCACATTTTTCAAGCATAATTAACGTTCCAAATAATTATAAAGCTATTGCATGCTTTCAGGGCTGGATATTTTTTTAGCTTTTCCTATGCTGTAAGGAAATTTGTAACTACTTCTTTTAGAAAATATATTTTAAATCTGAACTAATAGAAAATTTAAAACAAGCAATTTTTTTCTTGCAATTTTTATGCTTTTTATGGTGTAAATAAGTAAAAAATACTAAAATATTTAAAACGAATTTTTGAAAGTTTTGTTTAAATTCTAAATTGTGCTGCTTTTTTAAAATTATAGATGAGTATTATAGAACAATTTCTATAAAGGAATTTTATTTCAATTATATTTCATAATACATCATAGTGATAAAAACTTTTGACTCCTTAAAACTTTTTATATATTTAATTCTAACATTAAAATTGTATTTAACCGTTATGATTAATTTTGCTTGTATATTATAGTCATCATTTTTAAAATTTATTTTTAGTTCTGCATAAGATTTTTTTTATTTACTGTTAATTTAATTTATTAGCCCAAAAAGGCGGTAGCCTAGAAAGGCCGTTAGTTTCGAAGTGGCATTTTTCGCTGTTTTACTATAAATGTTCATGTCTCCTTGCAAATTGTTGTTACCAAATATTATCGCCCTATATTATATGTAAAGAAATTAAATAATGAAGAATCTACATTAATACATGTATGTTTCTCGCACTGTGACAAAAACGACAGTATCTAGAGCCATCAAATTTTGAATAATATAATCCTCCATCTGAACATGGGCATCTGGACAGCCGAATTTCGAATTTATTTTAATCTATTTCATATTTTGTAAAAATTTAACGAATTTTTGATTAACAAACTCAACGAGTTCAGAGCGAGCTCTGTACGGAAAACAACAGTTTTATCTCCAGTGTGGAAATTCTAAAGATATGCTGTTTCAAATGTATGTGGTTTACGAGCGAAGAACATGATATTTAATAATAAACACACAAAACTTTAAAAACAATGATTCCTTTTAGGCGTAATATAAAATCTCAGTGCTTCTAGATTTTATTTTATCTTTTTTTTTTTTTTTTTTTCTCCCCTTCACTACACTCAGAAAATTTTATGCTCCAAATTTTATAAATTACTAAAATAAATAATCCACTTTAATGTTAATAATTTAATGATGATATAATCAAATAAATAATCGTTTTGTAATGTTATTACAGTTTTGAAAATCACTGGCTGAAAATGTTCATTAAATTTAAAAAAAAAAAAATTTATCAGATCTTGTTTAATTTTATCCTTATTTATTTCCAAAACATCACGTGCTATCAATCTTATTTAATTTTATGCTTATTTGTACGAAAAAATTTAAGTTCATAAAATTTGTGCCTAGAGTTTTTACCGTTTTACCGAAGTAAAGATGTTTGTACAAGAAATTACGCGTGAAAAAAAAAAAAAAAAAAAAAAAAAAATGCGCGAATCGCAGTAAAAAGTGCTTTAATGAGATATATTAAATTCCTATTTGGTAAATAACCGTGGCTTTCATAATCTCATCACCATACAACGTATCAAATTTAATAGTTAAGAAGAGTTATGTCATACAAACGCCATAGGTTTCAGTGTTAAAGTAAACCAGATCGTCCCTACTCTTTCTTACCGACATGTCGGTGACGCGCGCCCCGCCCACTGGGTTAGTCTACCTCTTATAAGGTCCATGGTTCATAGTCCATTTACTGGTTTGGTTAAAAGGAGTTCATTGGTTAAAAGATGCCTGTAGGCGTAAAACAGTATTTCAGATATTATATCACCAAAACTGAATCCCATAAATCGCGTTTTGAAGGTCTTAGGAAGACACATTGATGCTGGCTGCTGCCATAAAATCATAAACAACGTCATTGAATATAGACATCCAATCCAATCCAATCCATTTCACACCAAGGCCAACATATAAGAGTTTAGATAAATATTAATACTGAAATTTTCAATGCTAGTTTCGGCCTGTCAAAACGTATTATCATAATCGGAATACTTTTTCTTTGTGATAACTTTATTTTTGAAGTCTGGCATAGTTTTTTCACCACATTTATCTGTCAATTTCACTGCGAAAAAAAAAAAAAAAAGAGGGGGGGAACAGTTCTATACTTCCCGTTCTACTGGGCCTATTGACAAAATTCAAATTGCGTTTTTCATGTCTCGAAAGCGCAACTTAGGATATATATTAGATATATATTAGATTTATATATATAGCATTATTCTAACATAGATATTTTGACACAAAATTGGATCTTTTCTGAAATGACATGCCAGTTTTTTTTTTCCATAGTTACATTCTACGATTCAAATTATGCCTAAATATTAAATTTTGTAAAATTTGGTACGAATTTACGGGGAAATTCAAAATTTTATCATGGCGCAATTTTTCAGTTTGCGCCAAGAATAGTCCACTTGGCGAACTTCTTAATATATGGCAACCTATTTTCTTTTCCTTTTTTACATTGTTCGTGAGAGAGAAAAAAGCGACTCATAAATTTTATCTTAGAGTTTTTACCGTTTTACCAATTCCTCGTTTATTCCTCGAAATCAGTTGCGTTCTTTCTTTCAAATAATGTTCTTTATATTATATTTTTATGCTATTATTTTAATTTTTTTTTCTTTTCGAATTTCATTTTAATTGTTTAAGTTGCGTGGTTTCTTTCAAATAACTGTTTTAAAAATTTCTATTTACTCATTCGAACTGCGTAGTTTAAATAAAAGGTACAGTTTATCATTGTGCCATTGCTTTACACAATTCTATCAACTATATTTAATCTTTTAAAATGTTATTCCTATTTTAGTCAAATATTTTATTTTTGAAATCGCATAGTGAAAAGTGAGTCAAATATCATAAATTTTTTTCAAAACATCTTGTTATTTCTGACATTAATTTTAAATACATTTATCGCCTTCCATTTCAAAAGGGCCCACAAACGGCCGAGCGGTAAAGTCCCTGAATACTGGTAGTTCGCTCCGGGGTTCGAATCCTGGCGAACGGGCTGGTTGCATGGGCGTTTTCGTAGTTTTTCTCATGTTTAACGTGTGTACGAGCTGGGTTCACATAGAAAGTTCTTCACGAAGGCATCCCTTCTTTTAGGCATATAGCACGGCTTTGCCGTAATTTAATAATCCAAATCAATATATTTCATCAGTATTTGGTCAGAGCCTTTATCCCTTTATCAGTGTTTAGAGGCTGGACATTCTGAAGGCATGAGATGAAAGGAAAGACTGGTATATATAAAAGATATACATCACTGGATAAATTCCTGAATCTACAAATAATTCGATTGAGAAATAATGCGGTGCTCCGTTTATGATACAATATGATGTTCTATGACGTAATTTAAATTTATACAACCATATAGTAGAAAACCAGTCACTCTTCACTTTAATCTGGAGTGATATCGTTTTTGTCTTTTCCTTTAGCACAAACTCAGTTGCTACTGTTTGCTGGTGTACACGTCCAAGTGTTTTCTCTTTGAACACCCAACTTCCTTGAAGTAGATTCCCCTTTAAATTTTTGTTTCCCCACCCCCTAAATTTCTTCTTTCCTTCTACATTTGTTTTCAGTACTGACACAAGAAAATTAAGAGTTTTCGATTTTCTTCTCGTCAAATTCCATAGACACGTCCATAAATTTTTCATTGTCGTCAAATTTTTTAAAATATCAGTTGCATTAAATGCGTTTCAGCTGAAGACAATTTCTACACATTTTAACTATAAATAAAGTTTTAAGCAAAGCCCAAACGATAAATATTTGAATTACAAGATTTTTATTAAATGAGAAAGAAATAAACCTCTCCAGCAGCGCTTATCCTGTACCGCCGAGCAACCCAATTTTTTATATGGGGTGCAAAAAATCTTAATCATATTATTTAGAATTTTTAAGCCTAAAAATTTCAATATTAAAGAACTTGTTTTGGATATAATCTACAAAACGAGAAAAAATTACTACTTAAAACACTCTTTCTAAGAGGATTAATTTAAAAATTTATGTTTATATATATGTTTTTTAAAGCCGGGACATGACCCAAAGTGTCAACGTCTTGTTTGCTTAAAAACATTGTGAAAATGAACATCAAACGAACTTAGACAATTCAATTTAAATGAAGTTAAAGTAAAGTAGTAGATGATAACACGGTGAAGGTAAAAATTTACTCTTACAAATATTAAAAAAAAAAGAGGAAAAAAGAAAGAAATTTTTAAAAAAGTTAAAAATTTGAATAACATCATCTATAATTAAAAAAATAGTTTTTCGTGTGGTTTGAAAGTGCAGTTAAAAGCAGTTAAAACCACATACATTCATTCATGTGATAGGTTTCATGTTTGCTTTGGCCTTTTTTCTCTTTCCACTTTTCTTCAATTTCCTGAAACCTAATCAGAAAACAGACAGATCAAAATGAAACATAAAATTAGCAAAGGAAGAACATTGTGTTTGTCTTAGATTTAGTCAAGAATTCAATCAATTTTCGAGGACAAATAGGTACACGTCCCTCTACCTCAAGAGCAAAGAAATCTGCAAGATCAGATTAGTCAGTCTTGCAGATTTCTTTGCTCCTGATGAAGAGGGGCCTGTACCTGTTTGCCCTCGAAATCAGTTGCGTTCTTTACTAAATATAGGCAAAACACAAGTAGTTATGCTAACTTTATGTCTCTAAAGCCTGCTCATTTTGGTAATTTGTTTTTCATTCCTTGAGGTTACCATCGAAAGCCGAAAAGCGCTCTATTCCTATGAGCTATTTCTTTAACCTAAATGGCAATCTTAGCTAAATTGGTCAGGTTGTCACAGCCTAAGAAGACAGGATATAGCGTATCCTGTGTACTACATTTTTAGTACTGTTTTCTTCCTTGATAAGTCTATATTATTCTTTATTTTGACAAGGACAAACTGATGCACTCGAAAGTTCGAGAGCTCTTATGCTTAATAATCGATTAAGAGCTGTTAAAATTTTAGTCGCAATGTTTACAAAATGGGCCTCAGATCAATTATCCTTTTTTTCAGGCGTACAAAACGGGATTGCGAATAATTGCAAGATAGTCTGAAGGTCTCTTTAAGTCCTAATTCTGTGCTTTATTGGCTTAGTGTAATCAGGCACCCCTTATTTTCTAACCAATGTCAAGGATAGTTTTGTAATTTATTTCTGCAACATTACAACATCTGTGTTCTTTCATAATATTATTGGATGGTCTTACAGTTTGATTTTCTAAACACCATTTTTTTTCTCTTCATACTTTAGGGATATGATGCGCTTAGGAAGTTCAGTGCATTGGGAGAAAGCAATGCAAATTATAACTAATGGTAAAACCTACAAAATGGATGCTAGACCATTGCTAGAATATTTTGACCCTCTCATCAAATGGCTTCATGAACAAAATAAAAACGAAACAGTAGGATGGAAAAGTTCTTCACATATGGAATGCCCTCAATGATGAAAACAGACCACTTATATAGAAATGTAATTACTGTAACTTATTAAATGTAATTATTGTTTCTTACTGTTCTTAATAAATGTTTCGTGAGAAAATACGTTCATTTGAGTGTACGCTTTTCTTCTTGTACCTGTGAGTTCTTTTTTATATGAGTAAATAGATTTACACATTTGCACATTCTCTCAAAATCAGTGAACGGGAATTAAATCATCCAGCCATGACTTTTCTTTAAAAAATATATCGTCTTTCTAAAGATATTTTAAATACTTTATTGAAAAATCGATGGACAGTAGATTTTGAAAACCTTTACATTAATATAAAGTAATTTTTTTTTGTTTGTTTTTTTAAATGACGACAAAGGCTTGTTTTCTTTAATGACGGCTTAAAATTCTTACCCGACCTTTATTTTCGCAATCGTTAGTCATGGCCATAGACTTATAAATACTGAAATGTTTTAAATAACAAAAATATTCATATTTCGGCAATGCTCAATTTTAAAAAAATTTCAGCAAATAACGAAATATAATTGTTAATCGGAATGTTTTATAGTCGTTATGAAAAATAAAATTATGAGAAGTTTGACTCTCAAGTCCACATCAGACTTTTTTTTAGGAAGACAATTTTATTTCCTTAATCGAAGTGTCTTTATTTTCTCAAAATTTAGGTTTAGACACGCTTTCATTGGAAACGAAAACGTTCTCATTTGTAAAATAAGATCCGCCCTCACTAAAAATCCTTAAAAAAACGATCAAGCATACATATTTTACCAAGCAATAATTCAAATTCACAGCAAACGTAGATATTTTTTTATGTATTCATTGATTTTAACCTCTGAGTTAAATTTTATACGTGTATCACAAACATTTCAATGACTTTCATGTCTGTAAAAGACTTTTGACTATTTAATAATCTAATTTACTATAGTTTGGACCATATTAATTCATGTTACTAAAAAACATATTGATTATTTTCTGACAAATTCATCTTAGAGTTACATTTTGCCTCTTTGAACATTTGAGTACAACGCTTTTTACCACAATGAAAACCAAACATTACAACATTTTTTATGAAAACATGAAAATTGTTTCCAGTTCCTGTTCAAGAGATACCAATAAATTTCACTATAGACAGAAAATTTAATTCATATTGTAACTTTACATATTAATTGTAAAGAGAAAATCACTCCTGATATTTACATAATATCATATTGTCCCATATATTTTCAAAAGTTTAATCCAATTTTTATTTAGCATATTAAAGAATTCTTTGGCTATTTAGCATATCAAAAAAGTCAAATATGGATCTATTTCTGATAGAAAATGTCAGATGTTTTATTCTTTTATTTCATAAATCACTTAAGTGACTGCAGGTTATTTTAATCAGTGAGGAAAATATTTGAAATGTTTCCTAAATTTAACGCATTTATTCAATTTTTCAATTTATGAAATAAGAAATATTGAAACGTTATTATTTCGGAATTTAAGGAGAGATTTTCTAATGACAGCGAAAATATACTGAATTTCATATATGATTTTTATTGTTTAATACCAAACATTTCAAAGTCTTGTGGACTGTTGGAATATATCCTATTCCTTTTCAAAGAATGTGCATCATTTCACATTTTAAAAGAGTACCATGCAAGTTTTATTGTAGATATTTACTGAATGATAGTGAAACTTTCAGTAAGAAATGAAATGTTTATTATCTTTCATGAAAATTTATAAATAACTACGATATATCATAAAAATTTGAAGACTTCGCATGTTTTGAAACAACTTCATAAACAAAAATATTTTCAAAATCTCAATTGCCATACAAATTTTAGATATTTTCATATTACTTTCGAAGTTATATCACTTCATTCCAGCATTACTTTCGAAGTTATATCACTTCATTCCAGCATTACTTTCGAAGTTATATCACTTCATTCCAGCATTATTTTCGAAGTTATATCACTTCACTCATGCTGTCTAACTAGATTTATTATATGATTTAGCAGACTTTTTTGTGTTGTTTTCGAAAACAGAAGTTTATATTTTGCACTTGCAAGCTATTATACTGATTGAATTAAATTTAATATTCATATTAATTAGTACTTTCCCTATGAAACTATCTTAAGTGACATATATTCAGTATTCATATTGCCCCATAATATCCATCAATTTAAGTTAATATACAGGGTGTGCTATAAATGTTGCGACAAACTTCTGGGAGAGAAGTAGGGCACATCATAAGGATTAAGAATTGCATAGGAATCCATGCCCAGAAACGTCATTCTACGCCGCTAGGGGGTGCTGTACAGGAGAGTGATAGTGGAAAGTGAGGATTGCCTTTTTCGAGCGATAGGTACCATACGAAGAGCATGGAACGCTATACGAACCGTGAGCTTGTAGACATGCATTTAGTATATGGAATAGCTGAGGGTATTAGACGAACTGGTGCACGCAATTATCGAAAACGCTTCTCCGACAGACATCAACCATACCACAGTTTGTTTCCACGTCTGCATCAAAATTTGTACTACTACGGGTCATTAAGCAGTGGCAGGACATGTGAGGACAGGCCACGATCGACTCGCTCGGTCTTTAAGGGAGAAAGTGTGTTGGATACCGTGGAAAGTAAAGTAGTAGGACCAAGGACCAGCATACGTGCAAATGCCTCTCAATTAAGAATGTCCGTCAAAAGTGTCGTATATCACGATTTTGTATCTGAAATGGATCTCATGGCAAGACTCGACTACGCAGCTGTTACAATCAAAGAAACTCCCGGTGTGTGTGAATATGTCCGGCAATCGATGGTCCATCGGTGTCAGGCATGTTTGCGTCTGATGGTGCAAACTTCGAGCATCTGTTGAAACATTCAAGCTGTCGTACACCATTTGTATTCATGCCCAATAGATGTTTCAAATTAATCGCTCTTGTTTCTTTTCCCATCTTCTACCTCTGCTATCACTTACCCCTGACATTTCCAGGCATGGGTTCCTATGCAGTTCTTATGATGTGCCTTACCTCCACCAGAGGTTTGTCGCAACATTTACGGGACATCCTGTACAGTTAACGCGCATTAGAAGTAAAAGCTGAATGATCTGTATTATATACAGACCATAGACCAGAATTTTCAAGAATTTATGAAAAATGCATTCAATTGTTGAAAAAGTAAATCTTATTTTATATGATCATATATAAGCATTTCATATACTCAACACATTTCTGAAAATATATTTTAATTTAATTCAAGACAATTAATATTTTCATTATCTGTAATGTTATACTTATTTTATAAAACAGATGTCTATTCATACACGGCAAATAAATATATTAAAGTGCACATCGTCTTCGAATAAAACTGAACATTTTACGTAAGTGTCAGGTTTACGCAAAGATTAATTTAATTAACAACAAAAATCATTAACCAATTCCATGTTCTGTAAGGCGATCACCTCTGCAGAAAATCAAAACCTTCTAGATACCATCTTAAGTTTCATTGTATTTTTGTAATGTGACGAAGGAAAGGTGGAATTTCGATCTTATAATTGATACGATATCATAGATCTTGCGTCAGAAGAATTAAAAAAGTGCATTTAAGTGCTTAAAATCGACTTAATCGTCGAACATTTTGCAGATGTGATAAAAAAAAGTCGCATTCATTGCAGTCTGTAGATAGAACTGATAATGTAGCTAGTGTTAATAAATACGCAAGATATATAAACATATTTTCCAGCTGTAACCATTTCCTATTGACCATTATATTGTTTTAATTATTATGCAAGGTAGTTTATATTCTGAATCATAGTTATAGCTGCGTTTATCGCTATTTTGCGGTTATTATGTAAGATGGTTTATGCTTTGTATCATTCAAAAACACATTCGCTGGTTTCAGTTCGTTCTTTGTGATAATTAATCTAAAGATCTAAAACAGAGAATCTCGATCGAATGGAATTTCAGAGTTTCGGAAGGGGAATGCAGTTAGCTTTTTATTTACTTATTTATTTTAATTTATAAAAATAAAGAAACTAATTTTATTCAAATTTTAGTATTTACAAACATTTTCTGTACTTTTGTTGTTTAATGTATGAGACGCTTTAAAAATAATCTAAATTTAAATAAATGAATATGTAATTTTCAAGTTTGGGAAAATAACGGGGTCGGGGGAGTTATCGTCTACCAATAGTGAAAAGGGTGCGTTAGGACAAAAAAAAAGTTGAAAAAACGCTGATTTAAAAAGAGTTAAGAAGCAAAATAAAATAAAATCTGTCTCAGCAAATTATGAAACTCTTCAGTAGGCAGATAAACTTCAGACAGCGGTTAAAGAAACATTCATTTATCACGACAGAAGTTGTTTATTATTACTTAGCAATATAAAAGCTGAAAGTGATTATCTTCACTGCAGTAAAAATTCATAGGATCTGTTTATTTTCAAGAAAGGAAGAAAAGGAGTTTAATAAAATTTCAGATTAAAAGTAAGTACTATTTCTATTTGCCTATGAAGGAAACATTGCCATGAATATGTCTGGTATCCCATGCAGTTTCTGTGTCTCTAGTAAAATTTCAGAACTTATATTTTAATATTGGCATGCTATGTAGAATCACTATAAATGAAATTTTAAGTGTTTATATTACAATATTTGCATTGATACTTAGGAATAAATACGTTTATGAGCTGGAGTTTACGCCATTACCGTTACCAGATTCTGAGCTGTGAACTCTCTGAACACTGGTAATTCCAACCTATGCTCGATTCCAAGCAAAAACGGGTTGGGTGCATGGATGTTTTCTTAGTTTTCCCCATGTGTAAAGAGTGTACAATCCAGTTTTTCTTAGAAAGTCCTCCCGCGAAGGCATCCCTCCTTTTAGATAGCCCTCGCGTGCTTTGCCATAATTAAATACACCAATTTACGCCATTTACCAAATCCACAAACACAGTTCAAACACTATCATACTGTAAAACTAATATATTTTGAATTTTACAATTTTTTCTTTTTCAGTTTTCTATATTTAGATGAGGAGGCAATTAGTTTAGTGATAGACATTTAACTACATTTTTACGGAAATATCATGAAATTTTACAATTGAAATAGCATTAGAAATGATGTCAAAAGCTA